GGTCGAGGGGAAAAACTGGGCTGTTTTATCCACAGGAGCCCCAAGAAAAGTCACTTTGGATTTATTTCCTCGCTGGCAGCCGGATCTTTTCCTCCCGGAAAGTGAAACCGCGGGATCGGCGTCCCAGCGAGATAAAACCTGCGTGGACATGGCAGAGCCCGGCTCTTGCTCCGGCCGGGGTCCATATATCTCCTCTAGGAGCCGGGGAAATGCCGCTCGCTTGACGGGGGAATGTTGTTTTTAACCGGGGCGCTGGGATCGGGGGGGTCACTTGGACGTACGGACCTCGGCGTCACCTTGTAGGGGTTTTCTTCTCTGCTGTTTTGTTTGGTTTTTTGTTTTGTTTTGTTTTGTTTTGTTTTATTGCCCGGAGAAACGGGCCAAGCCTTTTCCCACAGCGCGGGCCGGCCCCGGTGCCGAGCGAGCTTGCGGTATTTGTTTGTTTTTTAATATCTATATTTTTGGCTTGCGGGGATTGCGTTCCGCTGTGACCCTCATCCCCGGAGACCGGCCATGGCGTTGAAAGCCAGAGCCCTTTACAACTTCCAGAGCGAAAACAAAGAGGAGATCAGCATCCAGGAGAACGAGGAGCTCGTCATCTTCAGCGAGAACTCCCTGGACGGGTGGTTACAGGGCCAAAACAGCCGCGGGGAGACCGGCCTCTTCCCTGCCTCCTACGTCGAAATCCTCCGCTCCCGGTCGGGCTCCAACTACACGGACTACTCCAGCAGCCCGGCCGGCTCCCCCGGGCACGACTCCTCCTTCTACACAACCCCCGCCGACCCCGGCATCTCCTACCAGGGTAGTTTTGAGGACGACGATGATGATGACTGGGATGACTGGGACGATGCTTGCACGGGGGGGGAGGAGCCCCGGGGCGCGCCGGGCACCAACGGGCACCCTTCGCCCAGTCTGCAGTACCGGGCGGCCTACGGCCACCACCAGCATGCCGGTTACCATCCCAAGCCGGCGCTGGAGCGTCAGGACAGCATGAGCTCCTCCAAGAGGGGCAGCGTGGTGGGGAGGAACCTCAACCGCTTCTCCTGCTTCGTCCGCTCGGGGGTGGAGGCCTTCATCCTGGGCGACGTGCCCCTGATGTCCAAGATCGCCGAGGCGTACTGCATCGAGATGGGCTCCAAAGGTCCCCAGTGGAGAGCCAACCCCCACCCTTTCATCTGCTCCGTGGAGGACCCGACCAAGCAAACCAAGTTCAAGGGCATCAAGAGCTACATCTCCTACAAGCTGACCCCCAGCAACATCAACTCACCCGTCTACCGGCGGTACAAGCACTTTGACTGGCTCTACAACCGCCTCCTCCACAAGTTCACGGTCATCTCGGTGCCCCACCTGCCCGAGAAGCAGGCCACCGGGCGCTTCGAGGAGGACTTCATCGAGAAGCGCAAGCGGCGGCTGATCCTCTGGATGGACCATATGACCAGCCACCCCGTCCTCTCCCAGTACGAGGGCTTCCAGCACTTCCTCAGCTGCCGCGACGAGAAGCAGTGGAAGCTGGGCAAACGCCGGGCAGAGAAGGATGAGATGGTGGGCGCCAGCTTCCTCCTCACCATCCAGATCCCCACGGAGCACCAGGACCTGCAGGACGTGGAGGACCGCGTGGACGCCTTCAAGGCCTTCAGCAAGAAGATGGATGACAGCGTCCTGCAGCTGACCAACGTGGCCTCGGAGCTGGTGCGCAAGCACGTGGGTGGCTTCCGGAAGGAGTTCCAGAAGTTGGGCAATGCTTTCCAAGCCATCAGCCACTCCTTCCACATGGACCCCCCTTACAGCTCAGATGCCCTCAACAATGCAATCTCCCACACGGGCAAGACGTATGAGACCGTAGGGGAGATGTTCGCTGAGCAGCCCAAGAACGACCTGTTCCTCATGCTGGACACTCTCTCTTTGTACCAAGGGCTCCTCTCCAACTTCCCAGACATCATCCACCTCCAGAAAGGTAAGGGTGGCTTCTTCTCCCCTGGTGATGACGTCTCCTGCATGATGGCCCCGTGTGGGTAGGAGCAGCACGGGGAAGTGGGATATGGATGCGGTGAGGAAATCCTGTGTTGTGCAGGGATGGGGATAGGGATGGGGATGAGGATGGGGATGGGGACCATTGCCTGTGGGTCCCAGAAAGGCAGCGTGCTTCCCTCCGGCACGGCTCCCCGGTCACCCCCTCCCGGGAGAGGCTGCTCAGGCTGTTGGGTCCAGGATCCGGTTTTGCCTCAAGTGATGCTGTGGACTCCATAACTGCTACCCAGAGCACAAGCTGGGGGGGGGTCAGCCATGAGCAGAAGCTGGAACCATTACTGCTGCCTCCAGGATGGCACATCCAGCACCTTGTGAGCGAGGGGCCGTGTCGCATCCCCACCCACCACCCCTTGTCCCTCCTCATCCTCCCTCCCTGGCCGAGGCAGCGGTTGGGTGGCCAGCAGGGATGCTCGAGCTTGCTCCTCTGGGGCTGGGACACGGTTGGGACGTGGCCTTGGGTTGGTCGGAGGGTCTGGGGCGATGTGCAGGGCAGGTGGGATATGGCCACGTCTCTTCTTCCCACCAGCCTCACTGCACTGCTCTGGCCGGGGGGTGGGACAGACACGCTGGACCTTCTGGGGACAACCAGGGTCAAACTCTTCAGGAGCACATCCCTGTCCCTCCCTGCCCAGGAGGGGTGGGTTTAGCACCCCCAGGGCACCGGAGCTCCCTGCATCCCCTTATCCCTTTGTGCTGAGTATTTTGGGGGTTGGTGGGGAGGGGGGGGG